CCCCAAAACCCCAAAACCCCAAAACCCCAAAACCCCAAAACCCCAGTTGTCTTTATCTAAATTGAATAATTTAAATTAAGTATGAATCAATACTTCTGAAATAACTTGAATGTTCAGGTTAATAACGTAAGCAACTAACTGGCTTTCGCAATGCCTGGCTGGAGAAGAAGAGTGACCATTTTCATATAGAATATCAATCCAAATACATTATCATTTAATAATATTGGCAATTTGTCGATAAATCCAATGAATTTGAGTAAGAGTAAACAGCTATATTTTAGCATCATACCAGAAACCCAGGGTGGGAAGGAATATGGGTAAGGATAAGCAGATTTGGCATTGCGGTATTTTCGCTTTCTTAAATTTTATTTCTTGGTTTACTAGAGAATATCTAATTTAATTTTTATCCAATCAGTAATGATAATCAATTGCTGCTCTAATTAGTTGAATAGGATCTTATGCCACAGCTGAAAATACAATAAACGAAGAGAAATATATTAGAATCCCTCAGAGCCATCAATCTAAAATGGATTTTTATCAGTTAATGCAACAATTATGCAAAATTCCAGCTAAAAAATCGAAAAAGAAGCAATCAAAGACCAAAAAGACCTCTTATCTAAAAGGCTACAGGCCATCTTACAACCCCAAACTTAAGCCTAGGTACACTCTCAGTTCAAAACCGCCCACCTCCAAGCCTTATAAGCCAAAGCATAGAGGGCAGATGAAATCAAAACCTTCAAAAAGTCTTCACAAATCTCTTTTCTCCTGAACCTCTTATAAATAATCAGAACCCTAAATATTTGACTCAGACAACGAATTCAGGTAAGAAGAAAGGCAGGAAGAAGAAGAGGTGTTCTTCTAATTTCAAGAATTCCTTGAAGCTAAACAGCACTGATCTACCGAGACTACTCTCTTCAAATAACGGCATGGATTATCTGTACTCAAATGATTATACAGAGAGTATTTACTCTGAACAAGACTTTGGAATGTCAGAACAAGCATATGCGTAAGTTTTTGTCCCTTAGACTGTAGGTATGATCACGAAGATCTTGAAGCTGAAATCATGAAGGTGAAAATAGAGAAAAGTTCACTTCCGATCAACATTTGATTAGATACTAAGGCTTTTCAAGCTTTTAAATAAAAATTCAACATGTTAGACTGGAGGAGGGGTTTTGGGGTTTTGGGGTTTTGGGGTTTTGGGG